TAAATATTGTTGAAATCCTATGATAATTCTATTAAATAACTATTAGATGCCATTTACCCATTAGGATGTTTGGACCTTTGCTAAGAGGATATTTTAAGTAAATGGTACTCTTGGCATTTTAATTGAGCGAGAAGCAAAGCAAGTCTGGGAATGTTGCCAGGAAGATTTGCATACTCTTTTGGTCTTCTCTCAGATTTGTATTGTATTTACTTAACCGGCTCTGTTTGTTTATACATCCATCTCCTGAAAATACCTCTGAAATAACTTTAAGGAAAGAAAAACCTGTTGTTTTGAGTTGTTACAGACGGAAAAAGGGGATCAATTCTGATTCAAATTCTGCTTTCATGTCTTGTTCCTGTTTGACATGCCGCTATGACAGCATAAACTAGAGTTAATGTTGAGGCACCTCCATAGCCGTGTTGTTGCAACTGCCACACGCTTTAAAAGGGCACAGGGTCTAGTTGGGGATTTTCGATTGGCTCGAGGGGGGGTTAGCTTCCTTTTACAGTAATTGCTGCTATTGCAATTGGGGCTTCAAAGAGAGAAATACCGTCTAAAAAAAATTACCCCTCGACCTGGCGTTTTGTGTGTGTGTTCTCATATGGGAGGAGAGTGTGGTGGAAAAATGGGAGCTGTCAGTCAACCTAATGAGACCAACCTTCTCAGTGCACACACATACACACACAGAGCGCCATCGGGCCAGTGGAAGTGCCCTATAATTGGGTTTCCTTTCCAGGACAACAGACATGCTCACTGGATTAGATCTGACCATGGACGCCAATTCTCTCCATGTCTCCTTCTCTCTGCTTTTCCTTCTCTCTCGTGCCTTCTCCAACTGTCTCTTTTCCCATCCTCTTCATTTTCCCTATTCTACTGGCTATCTATTCTTTTATTTCTTAATGTGCTGCTTATCTCGTTCCCTCTCCTACTCTGACATACATGTATGGTGCTGTATCCCATAGCACATGTGTCTATAAATGGAATAGCATAGCAAGTATAATCAACATATTTAATGTGATTGTATTAAACCCCCAGTATGACCTGTTGTTGATGGATATCAAAAAGGGTAGGCTAGAGGCCCTTCCTTCATTTTTATTCCCACAACATCCCAGTAAATGTTTATTTGTAGGAAATACGATGAGATTACACTTTATTGATCCGAGTAGAAAAAAGTGATTTGATTTTTTTTCAACAGTAAATACAAGTACAAAATGGATTATCATTGTAAATACCCCAGGAGTTATGAAGGGGGCATGAGACAAGGAAGAGAGTGGGAGGAGAATGGGAAGCAGAGGAAAGACATTGGAGAGGAGAGAAAAAATAGGATGTGTGAAAAAGCAAAGGGTCACTTCTCTTTCTCACAGTTCCTTATGCAATCCCTGAGGAATGTTCACATCTCCTCTCTCTGCCCCTCTTATTGTCTGGGTTTGTGAAGAGGCTCTTGAGGAGTGTGTGCATGTGTGTATATTGCAGCACTAAGTTGTGAAGTGTGTGTGTGAGAGGGATAGTGAGTTAATTTTTCAACTTTTCTGCAACAACTATTCAGGATATTGTGAAATTCAACTTATTATATTACACTTTATATTTGTAAAATAGCCTATAAATAAATAAAAACGTGTTTTATTAATTTAGCTTCACAAGGATACTGATACCATTTACCAAGCTAGCTTACTAGCTAAACGCGGTTATGACCTTGCTTTATTAATCATCATCAAAAGAAAGGGCCAATGTTAGCTAGCCTGTGTTGGTTAGGTGAGTGAGAGAACATAGCTAATGTTAGCTGCTACTCTTAAGACTGTCTCGTACAACACAGCCTTGCTAGTTAGCTGGCTAGCTAGGTAGCATGTGCAGCAATGTTAAGCTACAGTAATCAAAGGTAGTTTTTGGTACTCTGCTGTGTTGGCATTAGAGGTTAGTTAGAAATTATACTAAATCACTTTTGAAATTGTGTTGCTTTAGCTAAAATGAGGCAGCTGGCTACATTGGATCATAGTTGTTAAGCTTTTAACAAATTAAAATGTTTATTGAGCACTCGAGTCTTAAAACTGCACCTTTTTTGCTTCATGTTTAGTTTTTTGTTGTTGTTTTTTAATATAAAACTATTTAAATAGGTTTAGGGAGCAAGAAACAATGAATTAGCATATTAATGCTATTGAAATACTTTGAAAGTCCAGGTGTTCTGCCTCTCATGTGGATTTCCTGCAATAATAGGCTACCAGGCCGACATCTCTGTGCTCTCCGGTTCATCGTCAAACATTCATGCTCACATATGCTGTTTACAATGAACAGACATATGGTGTTTATGCATAATATGATGACATTTCTCCAGAGTGAGGACATTAAGGGTTCATTATTTCACAAATAGACCAATTTGTGGTCATTCCATTTGGGTAGAATCTTAATTATTATAATTATCATATTATATCTTGGAGTTAGCGAATACAGTATATTTACGCCAACTTAATGGGACATGATTATGGTAAGGTAAATATTTAGTTGTTAGGAGTGGCAATGTGTTTGTGTATTATACCAATTCCTTTGTGTCTGGGTGTGTGGATGTGTCAATGAGTCACACACACATTGCCAACATTGAACACACTTTCTTCTTTAAAGCTCCAAACAGCTTAGTATACAATACATCAACCCTACAGACACAAGTCAAGCATCAACACACACACACACATCAAGCAACAAGTAAATATACATCACTCCATCACCACTGCCCCATCACACAGGCTCAGTCTTGCATTGTGAATGATCTGACAGCGTATTTTGGCAGCAACAGCCTCTCCGAAATGCATCTCGTCCTCCTATCTATCTCCCATCTCCCCCCTCTGCATTCTCAGTTCCTCCCCCCTCCCTCTAGTACGTGATATTGAGTGCTGCTAACACTTCTCCCTGTTTAGCCACTTGGCAACGCAGCAACTCATCCATCTCTCTGGAAGTGTTTATCTGTAAGCTGTTTGCTCCATATACTCTTCCACATATAAACATATTACGTATATATTCACATATATGTGCGCAGACACAAACACACACACACACACATACACAAGCACTAGTTCTGATAAGCCCTTGCCAACACTAACAATAATGCAACAGACATGTCTTAACATGAGTGTAAACATGCGCATACAAAGAAACAAATGTTTGGAGAAATATTTTCCCACACTGGTTTTCTTTTGTAGCTTTTACATCAAATGTAGGCACACGCACACAAGCAAAAAATATGAAGGCACATGCACAAATGTATATACATGTGTGGCTGAACTTTCACAAGCTTTTACGGCATAGACATTAGTATGCAAACATACACACAAACACATTAGAGTCAGGAAGGAATGCCGATAGAAGCTATGGTTTGTTACGCTTCTTAGACTTCTTATAAACAGTTTTAGCCTCAAAGACTGCACAAACATCTCTTATCGCACACATGTACACACTTTATACACTAAAGTATATGCACACAGCACTCAACGGGAACATGTAACGCACACACATGCTCGGATGACATTGTCATTGCATTGCACTAATGAAATTAAGCCTATAAATGTAGTGCTCGGTTAGGCTGATAAAGCCTGGACTTCCGGCCAAACAGATAGAGGGGGTGTTGGGGGGAGTGAGGCTGTGAAGGCAAACAATATGGTCAACGTTAAGACAGATTACAGGAAGACTGAGGAAGCGCGAAAGAGGGGATGTACGAGGGGGTTATTTGTCAGATCAGCCTCGATTTGCACATCCTCAAGAACTAAAGGGAAACTCCAATCGGAGGCTCTGTTACAGCTGGTGGCTGGCAAAGATTATATGGTGTTGAGGGGGGGGGTTTAATCAAATGACAGACTCTTCTGATCAGCCTTAAATATATCAAAAGTTTTAAAGGACAAGTTGGTTTTATTAGAACTTATTTTTGTAGTTTTACCCTGGTGTGTCATGTCCTTATCTGCTCTTCCAAAATGTTTTACAAGCATTGATAAAATACTTAAATTAAGTGCTTATCAACCAATATTTGAATTTGAGTACACAAACATATTCCAGTCTACACAATAAATAAACAATGTGTGAAGTTAGTACACTATAATACTAGTTTTTCAGAGATCCTGCTGCTCTAGATTCAGGCTGAATCACCTAATGTGTGTGTGTGAGTTTGTGTGTGCACGTGTGTGTCTTGTTGTACTGATGGACTGCAAAAGGCAACAGGCATGTCACTAAATCATTTAAGAGTTCAGGAGTAGAAAAAGCAGCACCCCTTATTTTTCCTTTAGACACAGGCCGAAGGCAAACAAACACACACACACACACGCACACAAAGAACTAGCCATAAATTACAGAGAGGCAGCAAATCATTCCCTCATGCACTCCCGTGACTCAAACATTTAGTTTGTTCTCTGTCGCGCTCTGCAAATTAAAGTGTGCACAAAAGGCTTTCAAATGTTGCCGTGCATTACATTGTGTTATAAAATGACGTGGCATTGATGCCAAAGCTCTCTGGGATAATCATCAATTATGCCACTGGTATTTTGCAAGCCTGTCTGAAGGTTGGTATGTGTATAGTGTGGAGGCTGCGGGGGCATCGAGGCTCAATCAATTCCACAGTGAAATGTAAAACGCCGCAAGTATAAACGGGTAAAGCAACTGACTTGACCTGTGCAGAAAATAATAATGAAAGGTGTGCTGTTAATAAATAAGCACTGAATAAAAAGTGTACACGGTAGGGCTCGGCTCAACCATAAAACATTAAAGGCTCAGGCTACCATTTCTATAGTGGGCACATAAATTATGACTCACAGCCCAAAGTTACTGAGGACATCATGAGAGGTCTTTTCATTATTCATTATGGTGGAACATTTCATATCCTTAGGGCCATAAGAGATGAGATATTGGGAGTACAGTAATCTGCTTGTTTTGTTAACTACATTATTATTAGATTGTATGTAAACTTACCAAAGTGTGCATTTACCTGATGTAAACTGACCACCTACTCTCTTCTATTGGCTCTTTAGGTGGAGCTGTCTGACAGCACCTCCCACACCATCACCGACGCCATTGCTGGGAAGGAATATATCATCCAGGTAACATCTCCTTTTAGCTGACTGACACATACTTCGGCCTTTAAAAAGGTATAGAAGAGTTTTATTAGATGCTTAAAATGTACCAATTACATTGTGTGCGACAGGTGGCCGCCAAGGACACAGAGATCGGAACATGGAGCGACTGGAGCGTTGCCGTCCATGCTACACCTTGGATTGAAGACCCTCTGCCGATCACTTCCACAACTGAAGTGGACTATACTACCGGTATGTAACAGCCTCAGTTAAAGCCTGTACCTTTCATTCATCAGGATCTCTGAAAACATTTTCTAATCCATTTGTTGAGTTGAGCTTTCAGTGATTTTCCAAAGCGTGAACCAAATCCACTTTACACAAACACAATATATGTTAATTTATGAATACAAATGCCCTCTGTATACATAAAATAACAAGTTCAAAGGTCATGACCCCATGAAAGGTAAAGGAACAAGGTCCAGAAACTACAATCATGTTAGCTGATGCTAAGCAGGTCTCATGTACACCATCTTGATTTAGCATGTTAGCACTCAAACAGTAGCTAATTAGGACCGTTGAGTTTAATGTATAATGATGGGGATGACATTAGATATGCAGGTATTTGGTAATTTACCTAATTATTGGACACCAATCTGTCCTGGGGGCATCATGAATGTAAATCTCATGGGGGCACGAGAGAAAATGTAAATAAGATTACCAAATACATTGTTTTAAAACCAAAATTGGGTGTCAATCCATCCATGGTAAGATGTTTTACTGGACGAGTGAAAACGATGACCTGCTGGTGGGTTTGGAGGGAAAAGGATTCATCCTCTGGGAACAATTAATGTTTTTCCAAGTGTTATGGCAACCCACCCAAAAGTTGTATTTCACTCTGGACAAAGGTGGTGGCTGCCACTGGATGCTAATGTAGCTACAAGGTTCACATTAGGGTAGAGTTAAGATAAGAAAAAGGCGAAATGCAAATAAGTTTCTAACAGCAGCCTAGTGTATGTGTATATATTGAGATGGCTTGTCATGAATAGTTAATGATATCCTAGCTCAAAAAGAGAGATAGAGTTACCAAGGGCTTACACTGTGAGACTTTATGTATGTAAAAATATTAAAATAGTATTCTTATACTGCTGTTTGGTTTTTATCAGTCTTGTAGTTCATCAGGTGAAGCAATAATTATGCTGATAATATTCCTATAATGTTTTCATCATTGTTCTTTGTGCCCACGGCAGTCACGCAGTACATTTCCCGAATCAGTTAGGTATGAAATTAAGTTTTGTTAATAACTTTCTTTATCATTAAATTGAGCAGACTATAAGCGTTTGATAGCCTTGAACTTTTATCACAGCCTATGCTAAAAGATCCAGCAGCCCCCAGACACACATCGACCTGAGCGCCTGAACGCAGCCTCAGGGAAACTGTGCCTTCTTTTAAAAAATGCTCACGTCCCTCCTGCATCCCCAGACTGGCTCGTTTTTACAATATAGCAGCTCCACACTTTCTAGATTTGAATTCTGCATTGGAAATGATCATATAACCTTAAAAACATTACAGGTTACTATATTCTGTGTTTCCCTTGACACACATACACACACAACTATCTCTGGGAATGATCTCGTTGGCAAGGATTGCTCTCTTCTCTAATTGAAATCCTTAAACGCATCACCAATGATCCCCGAATAACAAAACATCCATCTTCCAGTGCGCTGGAATAGCAAATAACAGATGGAAGGATACGATTTAAATGAATAAACACTGAATATGAGTGCTAATCTACACAATCACCAGTTGCATATCATCAAACACTTTGTGTTGTAGTATTTAAAAACTACACTGCAAAATGCGCTTTTGTGCTTTTGCACCTGTAACCACGCCCTGTTGTGATGTCACAGTGTACTTAACCCAACCCTAAGTGCACTCCTACATCATTGCATCAAGCCTTCAAACAGTGGAGCAGATTATGTTGCTCTTAAAATGTCCTGTCGATGTAAACATATATAGAGACAGACAACAGAGGTTTCATTATAAGGCTTAAACCCACCAATCTACAACTAAAAAAATACTGTTCATCAAACTTTTGGGTTTTTTTGTGGCCCTAATTTGCCTTTGATGCCACCTAATCTCTTGATTAGTTGAGATTTGTAGGCTTCAAATACACTGATCAATGCTGAAAAAAAGTGTGCTTTTGCATCTTGTATTTAAAGTTATCAGGTAACTATCAAAGTTAAAACGTTGCACACAAACAAAGAATTCCCCTAATTTATCATTGGACCAACACTATTGCATGTCCACGTATTGATAAAGTCACTCGAGTCTCAACTCAGAAAAACGACTTTTACTTAAGACTGGCAAAGGGGAGAAGAGCCATCGTAAAACTATTACTGACATTATCAACCCAATTTGAAACATTTAAAATACTTCATCTCGGTCTACCTGTTTCCTTCTCCCTTCCATTGACGTTTCTCAACAGTTTTACAGTCCACCAGTGACACCTGTGGGTCATGAGTGGCACTGCACACTGACCATCACAGTCAATGCTGAACGGGTGCGAGAGACACACAAACAGCACAAACAAAAGACACACATACAAATGGAACTACACACAGTACACACCTCCCTCTGATGACACACACACATTAACCTCGGTACACAGTGTATTATGCTTGTTCTGGGGAAAGCACAGGAGGTTATTGGGATTCACCTCATGCCTCCTCTCGATCCAGCTGGGGCTTCTCTGCTTCCCGTCCTTCTCTTCATGTTCTGTTCTCTCCTTCTGTCTTCTTTTCTAGGTCTCTCTTTCTCTATTCATCTCAATTCCTCATCTATTGATCAACCAGTGTTCTCAAAGGGACTTCAGGGTTGGTTGTAGATTTGCTGTTCATGTATTGTATCCCTCTGGTGTTTAAGATACCTGTTTTTATTCACATGTCCATAAAAAGAAAAATATACATAACCCCACTCTCTTATTGGACCGATTGTATTTCAAACACATCACCGGGGAAACAAGGATGATATTTTACTTCCTGTCCACACCTCGAGCGATAATCACCCAAACTGTAGTTCAGCTTTATTTTCAGCGGACCGGCTTGATCTACAAACTGACCAATATTTCTCTGTTGAATAGGAGCTGAACACACTTCCTCTGACTTATTGATTGTGTAGCTCACAGTCCAAACACGCTTTCCCTTTCTACATTTCCTCTCCATCTTGCCTCTGCCACATTTCCTCCTCCTTCTATTTTTTTTTTGTTCCTGTTTTTTCTGTGTTCATGCATCAGCGAGAACAGGTCGCACGTACCTCATGGGGAGTTGCACTTACAGGCCTGTTCTGCTTCCTGGCATCAACAGCCTCATTTCACTTCAAAAGGATAGCCCAGTGACAGACGGACGACTTTTTTCTAAATCCCATACTCAGTGATTGGACCATCGCTCGGCAACCACATTCCAGGAAGTAAAAAAGGCAGATATAGTTGAGGCTTTAAAAAGTAGCAGCCATCCTTAGAGCTGCCACCATCTCAGATATAGGTTTCTGCCTCGCCCCCTCTGTGAGACAGAAACTGGACACCGTCTAGCACCACTAGATATCACTTCTTATATCCTTCATGTCCCGATCTATTTATAAATGCTACGTTTCTGCTTAATAAGCAGAAAGCACCACGGCTAAATGTAAAGGTCCTTTTCTGCTGCATGCCGGCTCCAATTCATAAGGAAAACCATGACTTACTAGGACAATAATTCGACATAAGACAATATAAAATGTGAGATTTTATATCAGCTATCAGGGTTCTATCTGCCTGTTTGTATGCACATTTTCAATTTCAACTCTTTGCTGAGATAAAAACGTTGGTCTAATTATTTAAGTCAAAATGTAAAAGTGCAATTGAAAGAGTTAGCCTTAAATGATGACGTGGATAAAGCCTTCTACGTCCAATGAAGCCTCTGCTCCATTAAAGAGATGAAGAAGGCCTTTTTATTACATCATCTTGCATCAAATTGGCCCAACCTACTGCGTATTCTGATCAACAAACTCTTTATAATCACACAACAGAAGTTTATTAGAACATTTATTTGAGAGATTATCACAAAAAAGGCATAGCAGTATAAACACTTGGTATCTGGTTAGAACAAACCTATATTTCTGCAACAAAAAATGAAAGGTGCAAGCCTGTGAACAGAAACCATATCAGGCCTCAAGTAACTACAACTCCCAGGGTGCATTTAGATATCACTAAGGGGCAAGGGAAGGCTGAATTTAAGGATTTGTTGTAAACATTAAAACCATAGTCTTCAATGTTCTCTTTATTGTACACCCCCTCACTTCTCAGCCTTCCTGCTCCTTCTCTCCTCTCCTGTGTTTCTGTTCTGTTCTTCTCCAACTGTTGTTCGTTCGCTCTTCTCTCCCCCTCACTGTCTTGTCTCCCTGTCCTAAACTACCTTGTTACATCAACCTGCAGCCATAACTGTCTCTTCTCGCCTCCGTCACATTATGTCTGCATAATTTTGTGTTCCTCCATCGACTCCAAAGCAAATTGTTTTTCTGCAGGCAGGACTGTAATGCAGTGTGCTGCTGAACATGTTTAATGTGTCCTAGTTCTCTCTTTCTCTTTCTCTGGCTATTTCACACCTGGCTGCTTCTTCCCCACTTCCAACACCGTACTTCACAGCGGTCATTAATTAAGGAGAGGGGAATCATATTCACTCTCCAGTAACAGAAATGCTGCCGGTTCCAGACTGCAGGAGTGAATATCTACTGAGCAGCCGGCAGCTGTAGCTATATCCCTGTTTTATAAAGCCCTAAACCCTGATGTTTTTATTTGTCAAGCTATGTTAAACTAAAGCACTGAGAACAGCTTAAGCACATTTTCTGCTTATTTACGGCTGCCACAAGCTTTTAAGCAGAGCCTTTACACACGTTTCAACATACCTGTATGGGCTAGAAATATACAAGCCACTTTTTACTGTTTCTTTTAATTATTCTTCTTATATCCTCAATTTTTGTACTTTGTGGTTATTATTATTAGTTTTTTTTTTCCAATCCTTACAAATTTCAATTATTACTATTATTATTATTACAATTTTTGTATTATTATTATTATTTTTTTTTTTATTATTTATTATTACAATTTGTATTCTGTATTATGTGTTTTATTGTTGTGGGATTTTCCAGGCCTCAGTTGTTGTTCTTATACAGTAATGGGTTGCTTTGGTGATGTGCTGTATGATCTAAATATACAGCATGTGTAACAGGTGTGTAAATGTGTATATTTTAGTGTCCATATCACTGTGTCTTATCAGCAGTATATTAACTGCCACAGTTGCACATTCCCTCCTTTCTAACTTTATCAACCTCCACTCACTGCCTCCTTTCCCTCAGGGTTTTCACCTCATCCTCCCTTTTCGAATTTCCGTCTCCACATTTATCCGTCTATCTGTTTCGCTCCGTCTCTGTCCCTCTCTCCTTTCTGTTTCCCCGCGGCTTCAGTATGAATGAGATGTTCTTCTTTTTTTGTTGTCCGGCTCACTTCATAACTGCCTTGACAAGTCCTATATTGATTGTGTTTGCAGATTAGAATTGATTCCACTCTGCGCTGCATATTCCTTTCTGTTTGCTTCTTCCTGCTGCGATGAGCGCTTTTCAGTGTCCATTCATCAAAACGACATTTTAGGCGCTTCTCCCCGTAGGAACGAAAACGATTGTGCAACACTGTATGACCAAAAAATAAATAAATAGGAAAAATGAAAGTAAGGATTTTATGGAGCTCATTAAAAAATATGCTCAGTAAGGTTTATTGTGTTGTCTGTTTTCCTCCAGAAGCTAAGACCTCCCCCATCCCGTCCTCCAACGCTCCACAGAAGGCTGAGCATCCAGTGGGCGGCGCCGCCAGGCTCCTCACACACTTCTCCCCTTTGCTGCTAGGAATGCTGCTGCTGTTCATGTGGTGAGCACACACACACACACACACACACACACACACACACACATACACACACACACACTTACACAAACACCAACTTTAGTTAGTGAGTCTACAGCCCCTTTGAATTGATCATGGACTCAGTCATTCAGTCACATATTGGCAAGTCGATGCATGTCTATTGAACTCAAGTGCACGGTGTTTAATGGAACAAGAGCAATACTGATTGGGTGAGTTTGTTTTATGACCCAGCGGGGCATTTTTCTTCATATTTTTCTGCACAACCCCCTGAAGTGATTGAGGTAAAAATCCAATCCGAAGCTGTCGCATTTCATTAATTTCACACCTTTAACTGTGTGAATCATTCTGTAATGGTACGACTCCTGCATCACAACCAAACTCACTGTGAAAGGTGTGCAAACAAGTAGGGATTTTTGCACCTTATTGCCAAACAGCACCCCTGTAATAACACTTGGCGTTACCATGGCTACCTCCCCCCCCCTGAACACCTGCTGCTGGACGAGCCAGTGCAGGATGAAGCAGCCAGATTCAGTTGGAGGAATATGGCACATTTAGGCCAATTGTCCACCCGTACCCTTTACTACAGGCAGTCCAACGAGGTGTCTGTTATGTGCTGTTTATACGCAGTATTAGTGTTTTGTGATACAGGCCAACGCTACTTTATAATGCTACTCAACTATATATTCTCCTTTTTACTCCACTACATTTATCTGACAGCTGAAGTTACCATCTACTTTACGTGTTAAGGTTTTACAAAAAACAATAAAACACTTAGTTAGTGAAATACAATGCATAGTAACAGACTAAAGAGACATGTCTATACGTTTCTTGCATGGTGCAAACAGACTTCTTAAGTTCTCCCCCTCCCGGGCGGCTTTCCATTTTTCCTCCGAGCAAACATCATCATCACAGGACACGTTGCATTTTGTAGTCCAAATACTTTGATTGTTCCCTTGTCCTTTAAACACTTACATGTATTCTCTTCAATAACTGGGTATAGCTACAGGGGAAAACAAAGTGTTATCCTCTTCCTGTTCTCGTTCAACAGTAGTTGATGTGTTTCCTGTGTGCCTACTTTTTTCCTGGACAGTCATACAAAGTGGCAGACAGATTAAAGAGATTATGATTTTTGGGATTTCTTGTTTTAGTGCATGTAAATGGTCTGCTAAACTTAAAGTCTCAAATGTTTTTACTTCTATAACATAACCTGTCTTCTCTTACTGTGTTAATGTTTGCACCAAAGCACATATGGATGTATAAACCAAATTCTGATTTTGATTTAGATTGTTCTGAAAGAAATGTGTTGTTTTGATAATGTGCCTAATTTGTGCTTGTGTCTCTTTATCCCCAGATGTGAATGTCATCATTCCTGACGGGAGGAGTAGGAGGAGGAGGAAGAAAAAGAGGAGGAGGAGGAGGAGGAGGAGGCGTGTCTTTTTTCTATTTTGCACATGTTTCAAGGATACAGTGCATTGATCATTTCTGTCCATCACACAGTTACTCACCAAGATTACTTAGACATGAAACCAGACGATGATAATGCCATGGAGCATTTTTTGATAAATGGTGACAAAGAAATTCTTCAGAGGAACTTTTGAAAGCGGCTTCATCAACAGCAGCAGCAGCAGCAGCAGGAGCAGCGATATCAGCATAAACAGTCTTATATTTCCCCCTGGTGGCTCTGACGGGCCACAGCAGACTTTATTTGGGAATTCAGAGCAAGAAAAAACAACTCCTCACACGACAAAAAATATCTCCTTTTTTTATTATTGATCATAAATTCATTTTCACCCTTTTTTTCTCAAATTGCAGCACCGTACAGACAAACACACACATATATCGAGCATTCGTGCGTGTGTTTGTGTGTATAGCACCGTAGCAGTCCCCATACAGCTAAGTCATCATGCCAAAGACTCAACTTCACCCCCCCTCCCCCCTCACTTGACATAATGGATCCCAAACAACTCACTGAGCTTCCTGAAGCCTGTGTCTGCCTTCATCGTGGGTTCAAAAACCTGGAAGTTACGCGATTGATGTCCCACTTAAAACGCTACTTGGGACGAGTCAGAGGAAACCCCACTAAAAGTACCATTTAACAATAAAGAAGCCACACGGACACTCAATCTGACTCTGAATCTGCCAACGACTGAATCAAGCTGACGGAGCGAGACGTTTTTTTCCGACACGGGGACTAACACTTTGAAGACTTCAGTAACGTAGTGTGGCGTATTTAGACAATTAGCTTTACACCCTGCTTTCAGCGACTGGCAAAGAGGACCTGGATTGTAAAAAAAAAGAAATAAAGTGGATTTGAGACTGAACAAATCTTATCGCCCACACATTTGTTTCAGTTGGATGGCGAAGACGTTTATACGAGCTTCGTTGGTTTCCCATTCTGCTCCGTGCTGTAAAATACAATAACCCAAAACAGTTTGCTTTTTAAATTCCGACAAACATCGCAGTTTCCAGTAGCCAATATCACCAGTTAATTCTTATGTTATTCAAAATGGAATATTGATGTGTTTTATTGTATTTTTTTATCTTATGGACAAATAATACCAAGACACATATAGGATTTTAGTTTTTTTTCTCAGACATTCATAATGGCTTAATTCTCCTTGATCCTATTTTGTAAACTATGATATGTAACTTTAACATTGAACAAAAAGTTTATTATTTAATTATAATAATAATGTATGTATTAGCAGTAGAATGTCGTAACCTGTACCTGCGGGGTCTTTTTTATAGATGTATATACAATGACAGGTTTCAACCATTAAATGTGACCATTTCACAATAAATGATGACACACTGGCCTCACACTCATTTCTCCTTCTGAACCGATGTACTGTGAACGCAACATGGCTGCTGTTATTTCACCGCGTGGTCCAGAGTATTATCTCCTGACAACGCTAGATGAAGGTCAGGTGTCAATGGAGGGGCTAAAAGGCAATATTTTTAAAGACATAAGTATAAATCCATTTGCATTTATTCCTAAATTCTGCCTCACTTTGGCTATAGTATGGTTTGGGTGTGATGCTTCTCTTCACAATATAACCATTGATTTCCTTATGCCACATCTTTTAGAGGTCGCCTATTATGCAAAGTAAATGTTTTCCTCCTGATCCATCTATTTAAAAACCTGTCTGAAAATGAGCCAATCAGATTTGGCCACATTGTGACATCACAACAGTTTTTTGGGTTGGGCAACCATTCGCCAATCACCAACCAAGGTAACACCCGCCCACCTTATCACCTGAATCTCCTCCTAGAGCACCATTGTGTTTTTTTAACCAATCACTTCACAGAGGGATGTGGCCAACAGCAGCTCATTAGCATTTAAAGCTACAGACACAGAATCAGCTCTTTTTAAACAGGGGTTTATGGCATGCTACAATGCACGATCTGTTTGGTATTTGGAGCCAAACACTTCAGAGACATGTTTTGTATATATCTGAGACCTATAATTTATTGATTAAGAAGAGTATAATAGGGGACCTTTAACAGTCTCAGGTAGTGCATACAGATGCTAACTGAGAAAAGCACTGATTTATGCAACTATAATAAGTTTATAAGTAAGGGTTGAAATTAAACTGCATACTTTTCACTTTAAGTACAAACTGCAGCTGGCTCTGCAAAGTACTTATACTGTACTTTGTGTATACAATTGGGACATACTACTTCATCATTACATTGCGCCTTGAACTTTGACCCTCGTGGTCATACTGTACATTCGTCATATCATCTGCCTCTGATCTCCGAGCCTCCAATCGATGTGATGCATCTTCCGCTCTGCAGAGCATTGTGGGTCAGAAAAGCACGCTGTTATGTTGGCCAATTCGACATACTATTTATTGAGACATACTACATGTCTTTTCTGGAAACAGCCATTTAATGGGCAGATATATTTTCAAAAGGTAAAAAGAAAAACTGCAGATTCTTCACCTGATTACCTGGACATGTGTGTGCCTCTTGGATATGTAAAGATCTTTCTAAACGTTATAGAATAATTCCACGATATGATAGCTACACAGTCTTACTGTGAGCTAAATGTGTTTTTCTCTCCTAAATAATTGAGGCTTACTGTAAGGGGGTTTAGTTTAAGAGTTGGTGATCATCTATCTGCAGGTATTTGTTACCTGACATCCCCTTGTTCAGATCCAGGCAGTTAACTTTCCCAAATGAACGCAGTGTCAACATTCAGCCCTCACATTACACTTGGAAATGAGAACAAAGGAGCTATACGGTGGTTCCCAACTCTCCTTTGGACCTTTAGCTCCCGCTCTCAGTGCCTCCCTCCCCTCCTTAATCTGCCTCACGGTCTCTCTTCCTTCTCTCGAGCTCTCTTTCTTCCAATATTCTGACAAGTCCTGGCAGGCTGACGTGGAGCGCGAGGACAAATCAATACACCATCTAACAGCTGTCAGCTGGAGTCCTCTGTGTGCAGACGGGAGTGTATCTGCAGCTGTGGGCATCGCATTCATTACTCTCTCCTTTCTCTCCTTGCTTGTACTGGCCCGTCCCGTGTCGATGAGAACCCAATTAATATTTACAATGACGGGGCATGACATGAACAAGGAGGGTAAGGAGACCTCGACGTAAGACAAGTGAGGACACGTCTTGCATTGTAATTCTTGTCCTATGTCTTTGTAACAAATCTGATTAAAAAACGTCTTTACTTTATGGCTCATAAATAGCATAATAGGAACGGATATTTCAACATGCACCCACAGTGTGACCACATGATCTATAGGAAAGACTGTGTGTGTGTGTGTGTGTGTGTGTGTGGTGTGTGTGTGTGTGTGTGTGTGTGTGTGTGTGTGTGTGTGTGTGTGTGTGTGTGTGTGTGTGTGTGTGTGTGTGTGTGTGTGAGTAAGTAAATGCCACTCAGAGCCTGTCAGTTCCAACAGCCTCGCTCTGCTCTAATGACCAGCTTGACCTTTCCCTGATAACCGGCTGAATGACACCATCTCCCCTCTCTCTCAATCCGGCCCCCGCCTCTTTAAACACTCGCTGCCTCTCTACCTCGCTCTCCCTCACTGTTTGCTATGTGTGTTTTTCCCTCAGTGTCTCCATTCACAGTGGATCAACACACATATACTTTCACTCCATGCTTTTTTTGGAGAGTTATTTCAGTTTTAATACCACATATATATTAACTCATGGGCGTTGTGTTTTTTTTGGAACTGAAAATATCTCAAAGATACATTTGTTTAATCCTAAAAACTATTTCATTTACACAGCAACTAATTATTACCAACTAACCGTTGTGCCACCTCGCTATAGCTTATTTATGTTAAATTACTGTGTGGCATGATCTAGATAGCTACGGCTAGTCGTTATAATTTATTGAGAGCACCATACAAATTATGTTAATTTATTCCATCCTTGACATTATTGCTGGCCTGTTTTAATATAAATGTAAAGACATAGCAAGGGGTCCCTGCCACGTCTCTCTTTCAGTTAAGGTGATCCTGAAAAGAACCCTGCATTAATTACATTAACACATTTGGCTTGGTTTGTACGCGTGTGCTCTTGTTTATCCAACACTTTACTTTACTCAAATCTGTTCAAACATAGTTCTTTGTTGCCATACACACTGATGAGAAATGTGTTTGGATTCTTCCAAAACGTAGCTCCCTCTGTTTGAAATGTATCAGTGGCCACTTTATAAGATGATCTGTAAGCGATGCGAGAGGCAACTCTAATGTCTCTTAAATCTATGACATGAGAATTAAACATTTTGATTGAGTGGTATTAAAATGAGTGTTTGAAAGAAATGAAAAGGAAAAAATACATTTATCTAAACTGACACATTTAAAATGTTATTCCTATAAAAAATTAATTCACTTCAGGAGTTTTATTGAATCCTTAGTTTGGCCACAGGAGGGCTGCAGAGGGTCCCTCTGTGCGCTGTCTGTGGTGCTGAAACATTCTCTCTCTCTCTCTCTCTCTCTCCTCTCTCCCCTCTCTCCTCTCTCTCTCTCTCTCTCTCTCTCTCTCTCTCTCTCTCTCTCTCTCTCTGCCTGTCTCCATGGTGCTGAATAATTCAGATGCATGGTATATCCCACTTCTCTGATTTCATATCTCCTCTGTCCTCATGTGACCTGGAAATCAATTGAGTCCACCATCAAGATGCTCCTGTTCCTTTGCTCTGTGCATAAGGGATAGGTGGAGCAGGATATCAGTGTGTCATGCTGCATTAGTAACTCTTCACCGGTGTTAAAGTATATAATGACAAATTATCAGTCTCTTCTTGTATCCTCCATCACCTCTCATATAAAATTAGACCTGAAAGGACTGCTAATAAAAAATAAAACCTTTTGGTAGACATCCTGCAGTGAGCTCGAAGAATACTGATGATGTTTGCCTCTCAAATCAACAAATCACTCCACCAATTGCTTGTCAGCCTTTAACAACAAAACACAAAGTCGATTATTGGGAGTTTAAGTGGTGATTCCCGTGATCGCATTGAACCTATCACTCTTGTAGAGAACTGACCAAAATGCCAAATAGTTGTTGTTTTAAAGCATTTCTGATACTGAAAACACATCTTTTCAGAAGTGCATCAGGGAATTTAGTTTCAAAGTTATCTGAACAAAGGCAGGCATGTCTTTCCAGGTACAAAGCAACTGTGGACATCATTCAAAGCACAGGAATATAAAAAGTTGATCAAAGAATGTTGAGCTCAATCAGACAATGAGCAAAAAGCTTGCAAATCTCACTGAATACAACGTCAAAGGAAACAAGCTTACACAGAGAAAAATCCAACCACTGATTGTATTTGAATTTCCAAATGGATCCCTAATGAGAAAATCATTTTCAACAAAAACAACCAAGCTCATTAAAGACACCCCATCAAAAGAGATTAAACTGATATGCTCTTAGATCTTTATTTGAGACAAAATTGGATTTTACATCAGTGGTGAAATTGAAAAGCATGGCAGGTCTGACCCACTATGTAGAGGATTAGCAAGTATTATATTTGAAATATGGGAGCCAATAATATCCCCCACTCAAGGTTTTAATATGATCATTATTTCATATTCATAACATAGAAATACTCATTTAAGAAATAACCGTTTGTTATTGGTTGGTCCTGAAACTGCTGAAGAGAATACTGTTTATTTTTTAAATGTGTCATCTCTTTTATTTTATAACTTTGAAGGCTAGCAATGCAGTGTAGTGTCTGCTTTCCGACACAGTTCGAAAATGTCCTTCTCTAGTTACAGTATGATGTTTACAGTGTTCATTGCCCAGTCATTGGTTTTCATTCTGTGGTCTCTACCACCTTCTAGTGACGCTCCGAGAAACTGCAGCCACTAAGAGTGTACTGTATCTCTGTAAATGCCTTGCTCCAATGATGCTGCTGTTATAAAAACACATGTTCTCAAATACAAAAACAATACAGATTATCTACCATCTACTTCATTGCAAAACACTATTGAATAAGTCTTTAACCGAACCATTTGCTTTATGTGAATTACATCACAATGAAGAGGAAAAACTATTTAAATGTAATTTGTATCAAATAGGTAACACTTGAAGGTCAGACATGACATTTATGTCAGGCTCTTTAACGTAGCAGCGATGCTAGAGTGCTATTTCAACTCGATATATGTGCCTAACACATTACCAGTCAACTCTTTTACACCACTTTTTTTTTAACTCGTCATTTCTGAAAATATAATGATAAGAAAAAATGCCAGTGTTGGTGTTCTTTCATACTTGCCCCTTTTTTCCCGTCATCATACTTTCTGAAATGTCTTAAAGCTCCCATGTCATGCTTTTCCGGTTATTACCCGTCCCCTTGTGTGTTATGAAGGTTTTTATGCATGTAAACGGTGTGCAGAGTCAAAACCCTCAAAGTACACCCTGTAGCGAGTAAAACTCTAACACAGAAAATACCTCCCCAAAACGCCTCGTTGGAGATACGTCACTGCCCATTTGAGTCTTCCATTTAGTTCCGGGTACCGCCTGATGTCATGCGGTACCCGGAACGAAATGGACCAATCCCGAAGAGCTATGGCCACACCAGCAGCGTCGTGTTCCTCCTCCAGAGGTTCGAAGAACCGGCATTTCACAGACGAAAGCTTCCAAAACATTGCCCAGTTTGAGGCCGGATATGCACAGCTTGTTTGGACCGTTTGGAGCAGGGGAAGATCTGGGTATACAACCTGTAAGTTTGCATTGTTATTTGTGTATTTATCAAACAAGACTGTTTAAATGTGTAAACTGTGTTGGACTGCTAAGCCATTGACACAGTGCTAACTAAGTTGCTAGAGTTTCCATATATCAACTCTAATATCAGCAGATGGCCTTGCATACATGTATCTCATAGCAGGAGAATGTCTGCATTCACACACAAAATACCTATTGACAGTATACTCCGGGTGATTTGCCGGTCAGTCGCGAAACGTAATTACATTATAGCTGGCGTAGCGATCTAACACACGGAGCTAGAGCTAGTTTCGGTCAGAAAAACATTTTTGTGATGCTACGTTGCTAGCGTTTAAATATATCAACTACAATGTCAGCAGATGGCCTTACATGTTTGTCATGGCAGGAGAATGTCTGCAGTCACACACACGGAATACTCATACAGTATACTGTACTGTGATTTACCGTACATTGTGACCGTACATATACTGCATGTAGCTAACGAGGCTAGCTGTATGCTAGCGCAAAACAATGTATTCATGCAAGTTACATTGTATGACCGAACGTAGCAGAATACCCGTATACGATTGCAATTATAAACACGTTATTGCTAGCCTAATATGAACCACTAGCTTTTGTTCATAGTAGTTTTATTACACTGCATTATAGTTGCCTTTCCTCCAAGCTAACGTTCATATCGTGTTAGCTACCAAGGTAAACAAAGCTAGGTTAGCATATTAGCAGGCAAGCTGTTCATTACACAACTACTACTAACGAATCTAAAACAACTAAGTTTCTCTAATATTTTGTGATTTGCATTTGATTTCGTCCAGCCAGATCCTGGCGGACAATCCATGACGGGGAAGGGATTCTACTACTACTGAGGGTGCTAAAAGGCACCGCACCGACTGTGCGCAGGCAAGATGCGAGGAGGAGGAATGGATGATATACCGTGTATATATGTATATTTATGTTCATTTTGTACATTTCTAAAAATAAAGTTTAATGGAAATACTTAGTAGGCCTATCCTTTCTTCCCTGAATTCATATATAGCAAACCATGATTTGATTTCTCATCAAACAGTAGTAGTTATAACGGGTAAAAATAACTTACTCTTTGTTATGAGAGTAGCTCGTAGGCCACAACGGAAAGACAAGGAGACATACACGAGTTTACAAAACCACGGCACATTTATTGTAGTAAATGCAGAGACAGGTGGTCGAGGGGAGAGGGTCGCTCAGTTCGTCCTTCTGCAGCCGCTTTGGAGAGAGACTCCGGGCCGCTGGGATTAATAGCACCGGCTACGGAGGTGTCCGTGATCGCGCTGATTACCCTCTTCAGCTCCACCCCACCGTAAGACAAAGGCCCTGAGGCCGTCACACTCTTCTATAACAACAGTTAAAAATATATATGTATATAAAATATACCGCTGTACCGACGCCATGATAAGACTGATGTTACGCTGAGAGCAGCCGGGAAAAGCACTGACATGGGCGCAGCCTCTCTGGTGGTTGACTAATCAGAACGAGTGGCCGAGCTGACCAATCGGAGCACACTAGGCTCACAGGGAGGGGAGGGCAAGAGCTCCAACGAGTCGTTTAGTGGAGAAAGTGAATACTGCTGAATACACATGCTTGACAGAGATGCTGTATGCGAAACCAATGTGAGTTTGGAAAATTGCACAGTATAAATCTATTTTAGTATACCTCAACAATGTAATTATGATCAGTGGAAATGGCCATGACATGGGCCCTTTAATAAGAAATAAAACAATAGATTTCCCTATTTGCTGTTCAGCTCATGCCCTCTAGGTGGCAGCAACGCGACATAGCAGCCTGCTCACACAAACACCACAGAAGAAGAGTGAAGCCTGGAGGACCGGTCGGATAACCAATGCAGGGCATGGGGTGAGTAACGATATATGTATCAACCGGCTGACAAAAATGACCGTAAAACCATTTAAACCACCGAAAATACAGTTAAAACAAACGTTTTAATGGTAAACGAACGATGTCATGTTGTGTAATTCACTAAATAGCAGAGCTAATCGTGACAGCTGCTGCCGCCTACACAAAGCAGCATCTCGCTGTCTCTGTTAGCCGTTAGCTCCCACCTACTGTCATCGTGATGGATGATATTGTAGCTCTGTAACAAAAGGTTATACAACATGTCTTTATTTACTAACGTCTTGTTAACGTCAAACGAATAAAAAGTGAATTGGCTTGATTAACCATGCTGACGTTACACCAGAGAACACCGGTTGCTAACAGCAGGTGACAGAAATAACTAGCTAGCTAATTAAACATTCATACTCTGGGGCATTACATCACGTGTTTCTTTTTTCAAATGCAAGAGACTGCAGCTCGAGATACACTCGGAGAGACTGCTCGTGGACCTGTCCTACATTTCTCTGTATTGCAAGAGAGACACAGACCTATTTCCGTGTTCCCTCTGGGGTTAAAAACACGGAATGTCTCTCAGATGAACGCTGTGTTTGATGGGGAGGAACCAGAGGAGGGGCAGGCTGTCTCTGGGGTCTGTTCTGGTTATTCATGAGGCATTTACTCAAGTAAAAGTACAAATACTATGGTCATATAGTACTCCACTACAAGTAAAAGTACAAATGATATGCTGTTAAAGTACTCCACTACAAGTTAAAGTACAACTACTATGGTCCTGTAGTACTCTACTACAAGTAAAAGTACAAATACTATGGTCTTACTGTATAGTATTCCACTACATGAAAAAGTACAAATACTATGGTCCTTAATTACTCCACTACAAGTTAAAGATACAAATACTATGGTCTTAAAGTACTCCACTACAAGTGGAAGTACAAATACAAAGCCTTATAGTACTCCACTATACTTATGTAAAGTACAAATATGTCAATGAGTACAATGCTTGAATAAATGTACTTAGTTACTTTCAACCACTGGCATTGATGTTGATTAAAAATAAAAAGGGACATTCAGATTAGGATTGCTGTTTACAGTGTTACTGTTTATTATTAAAAATGTTTGTGTTAAAAACATTCAGTTGTTTATGAATTCTTTATATTGAATAATGAGACACCATGAACAGTGATACAGTTATAAAGATGAACATTGTGAATGTGATACAACAATGTTAAGCTATTTATTATGGTGGAGGGTTGTTCTGCCCAATTGTCCTTTCTATTGCTCAATCTGTGGTCTAATGATAGGAGCAGAATATAGAGAGAACATCGTGCCTTTGGGATGTATCTGTACCAAGCACAGTTAGTGTGATGAAGAAGCAGCACACACAACAACCTTTCACTGGTTTTAGTCATAATTCAAGCTCATTAAGGTTCATTTGTTTGTTATTTAACAACAGGAGGCTACACACATGTATATGTGTATACATATGTAAACCCATCTTTTCTTCGCCTCTTACATTTCCCCTCTCTTCACCAGGCTACCTGACTCTTGCTGACCCTCAGTGACGATTGGCCCACTCAGCCATCAGTCAATATGCAAGGATTCTACTCCAAGCTGGACGCGGTCCCGCTGCTGGGGGCGGGGGGCCTGGGGGGGGAGGGGGGCCCCGCTCCCTCTGAGTCTGGCTGTGGAGACGGAGAAGGCTCAGGCCCTGCTGCAGACCTTTAGCTCCGCCTCCCTGCTGGCGTCGGCAGGCCTCGGCATGTTCTGTGTGGTGGCGGACCACGGCCTCCAGCTGTCCGTCATCCAGAACCACCTGTGGCTGCGCGCCGCCCTGGACAACGCCACGCACGGATTGGTGGGGCTGTGGTCGTGGGCCGTGGTGATTGGACTGAGGAAAAAGAGCGACGTGTACGAGGTGCTGCTGGCCGGCCTGCTGGCCTCCATCATCGACCTGGACCACTTCTATATGGCGGGGTCCCTGTCACTCAAGGTAGACCCGCCCCCTGCTGAGGGCTCTTCTGCATGTTTAAGACTAGAAATGTACCACATTTGGAAAGTGTGCAATATAATTCATAGGAGTTTTGGAGAAAATATCTTATTTAGCAATTCTTTACAATAAAGTATAGGATGACTTTTTATATTTGTATTACAAACAATGCTCTGACTTTTTTATTGAAGTTCTTCAACTTAGTATAGTAGGATTTTGTATGAAAATACTAATGACATGCTATATAATTACTTTTTTTATCATATGTTAAACAAAATACTCTAAAGGGCTAGCAGTAAAACAGTGTGTAAAGTCAGTCAACTTTATTGTCAATCTTTCAGGTTGTGTGTACAGACAGAAAGATCGAAATACCGTTATCCCGTGGAATACAAAATACAAATATATGTATAAACATATATATATATAGACACATTTATACATATGCACACATTGAAGACATAAATAAAATCACAACAATCAATAAATACAAAATGAAATTCAAATGATGTGTTTCTGCTGAAGTACATCCAGAGATACTTGATCTTAACTCCCTCCCTCCCTCTTCCTCCAGGCGGCCGTCTCCCTCCCCCACCGCCCCCCCCTCCACTGCTCCTCCATCATCCCCGTCCTCTGTCTCTCGCTGCGCTTCCTCATGTGGATCGGACGCCTCAAAGACGCCTGGTGCTCCCTGCCGTGGATGCTGTTCATCTCCATGGCGACGCACCACGTCCGGGACGCCGTGCGCCACGGCCTGTGGGTGTGTCCGTTTGGAAACACGGCCCCCCTCCCCTACTGGCTGTACGTCAGCACCACGGCAACGCTGCCCCACCTGTGTTCTGTGCTCATGTACCTAACAGGGACCAGGGACGTGATCTCCACCAAACACGGGGTGGCCATCGATGTGTAGACCTCCTCCCTGATTGGTTGGTGATCTGCTAGGGATACAAGATGTTCTCTGAGACGACTTTTAGATATTGGAAATTACTGGAGAAAACATTTGAAGGATGAACTTGTTTTTTCAGCTTATTGGAGAGAAATGTTGGCGAAGAATCACATTTTATTTCACCCAAAAGGATGAGAAAACTGTCACTAGAACAACAAGATATGGGTTTTCTTTGGAGTTGTGTATAATAATTGGCTTTTTCGAAAAAGAGTGTATGTGCCCAGTATGGATTTAGCTCTTTATGGTATGAAACGATCAGGATCCTGATACCTGTCTCCTGTGCTAAATGCTAACGGAGTGACCCTTTAAACCTTCGTCATATCGTTCTGCAGAGGCGTTCCCGCTCTCTGGTCATCTTCAGGACCTGAACCCTAACCACTATCACGTCCTGTCCTAAGAAGGAACACTCAAGGAAAAGTCAACCAAAGTTCAGCCCCCCCCCTCTCTCTCTGACACACCTGTTATCAGTGTCACTCTCACCCCGAGTATGTTCTTCCACTGTGCTTTTAAAACTGTTAATCTGCCATAGTAGTGAAGTTTAGTGTATCGTACGTTCATTGTAGAGTTTTAAAGGAACAGACACACCTTTCTTCTCATGGCTCTGCCTCTACTGCTTGGATAATGTTCACTCAAAGATAAGTTTTCCTAGAAGAGCCCAGAAGTTTCCGTGTCGGCCGTGGATCAGGATGTTGTTATGACTCTGTTTGTTTCCAACATGTGCGGCCTCTAGTCTTTTGACTTTAGGGTAGTTGGATTTAACTGAGGGAAAAAGCTCCTTTCTGTAGGTTTCATTCTTACCGTTTCAAACGTCCACCTTGTGTTTGCTTTTTGACAGATTTGGCTCCACTGTGGCAGCGAAAGCTAAGAATGAAATGACTCTTTTGTATTTTATAATGTCATGGCTATGTGACCTCTATATTTGACATCAATCATAAAAAGGCTGAGGGACCCGGAGATATGCTGGATTCATATTTTTGAAGTTTTAAACATTCAAGTGAATCGTTTGTTCAACGGTGAGTCCAACGCTAGTAATATCTTTATATTACTTGTTGATTTAGGTGCATTAACCTGCTGTATAGGGTTCTATTGCAGTTGTTGTAATGCTACTGTGATGAAATGATTGATGCTGAAATGTAGTGGTGAAGCCATGAGTAGTAGAAGGACATTTATTTCAAATATGTATCGTGTACAATCATTTACTAAGACAAAAAACATTTAGAGGTAGGAAGTCATTACACTGCTTTAGTTTCATTCCTTAACAGTATAGTTTACTGTATTATACATGATGCATTATATGTGGTAACAGAGTGGATTTAGTGACTTTTAGGGACTTATTCAAGTTATTTGTCATTTTCAGTGTAAAAGGGATAGTGGACTCCTCAAGACATAAGTCTGCTTCTATCTTTTTGAATTTGGACCGAGTTGAAGTTAAGTTTAATCACTTTTATCTCATATCGGCTACAAAATGTTAGCTTCTTTTTGTTTGTGTGGAGTGGCTGGTGACTGTAAGGTCGTAGTGATGCTTTTTGTCCACTAGGGGGCTGCAGTGAGCTTCAAAATGTGTCCTTTGGAATAAATCTGGTCTTAAAGTTTGAATAATTGCACAGAAAATTCCAAAATGCACTGAACTTCAGAAAGTTACTTTATGGCTGCCATCCCGTTTTTGTTGCCAGTGTCATTTTAAAGTAAAATAATTTATTGTTGCTGCTTATGGTAAACTTTATTTATGCAATATTAAGTTGAATTTTGCACAATTTCATTTATTTTTATTTTAAATTATTTTTTATATATGTTGAACATGTTTTTATGACAAATGTCATTAGTATTAAAGTATAGATGGTTTTAATGTAGTGTCCTTTCTTTCTCAATAAAGTATATCCTGTGTATATATCCTGTGTTTGTGAATTAATATATGCTTGCTAAATTATATTATGACTTTTTAAACATTTGTAATGATGATTTTCGTGGCATACCAAATATCTTAATCTAGATGTCACAGCAGGGGTTGTTAAGGTTTATAAGCAACCTTTCCATACCGAAACAAAATAAACATATCAGATAACTAAGTTTGTTACTGTGTGTGACTGCGTGTGTCAAGTTCTGTACATCTACATGCATCGCTAAGCCCAAAAGAACTTATTCCTCTTTAATGGCGAACAATGCGTTGCCACGGTAATGCGTTCCAAGAACCTCACAAGTTACGGCGTCTGGCTGGCGAGGTATTGACATTTAGCAGACCAAATATGGCGGTGATCTGGTTAACCTGCTCAACAATAACTTCCTACTTATCCAACGTGTGAGGTTCTAAAAAGTTTTGACCATTTACAGCAGTTTATTATTCCTGACAAGTGTGCAAAACAAGTTTTTAAGCATGCTAAGGAGGACTCTCAAAAACGCGATTCATTTTGGTGAAAATAATATTATAGTAATCCTGGCAATTTCTAAAGGTTTTTCTCTCGGGCTCAGGCCCTAAAAAGATTATGTATTCTCTAATGACTACATGCGAGGACAATGAGTGCTTTTATAAAAGGTACGTACTATGGGCACTTATCAGGGCTTTAGGAGCATGTAGTGGTGAATGTGTTCTATCTATTGTGCCGAGCTGTTTCTGCTAATTGGGAACATCCTCAATTCAGCTGGAAGGAAGCAGTTGGTCTGAGTCAGGGGTTGCAATTCCACTGCATGAAGATAATAAATATGGCAAATGTTTTCCTTGTCTTCAGAACTCAAACTGGATACCGAACGTGTTTTCCACAACCACACCAGCAGACAGAATGCATGACAACATGTTTGCCAAATGGGAAGTGGAGCCAGGCAACTCAATTCCAGTTAGATCTTAAAAGAGTCTTTCATAAAGACAACAAAGGTCGGCTTAAACATTTGAGAAACATCAGACTCTGTCACAATCAGACAATGGCAGCTTACAGACAATAAACAGCCGGCTTCAGGGGAAAGTGCTCCAGTACCATGGCCTGAGAAAGACAGTTTAATCCTCTCAACCACTAGTTCAGAATAATTGCAGTTTTTCAATTTGTTAAATGTTTGTGACATCACATATTTGCAGACGTAAATCGGATGAATACACAAAAGACAACCCCAAAGGGCTAACAAATGTGATAAAATAGTTTTATTTCACAGACATATACAAGGAAAGGAAGAAATAACAGCTTATGGTGAAATCTGTGGTACACATATAGAAAACACTATGGCCCTTTCTCATGTCTTCAAATGTTCCTCCTCGACTCCTATCCTCGAGACTTAGTCCCGCCCACAGGAGATGCGAGCGGAGGAGCCGAGGAGGGGAACCGAGGAGAGAGGAGGGGAAGCAGCAGGCGGTTAGAGAAATGAGAACTCCTCTCCTCTGAGCGGTCATTTTAAAGAGACGTCCATTAATGATGACAGGAGGCACAGCAGCACTCTGTCTGATGGACAGATGTGTTCATGGTCATTTACTTTTAATTCATTCACAGTGCGGTATAATGAGACAATAACAGGCTACAGATGCGGACATACACACAGACACACACACACATATGTATATATTTATATAAATATATACAATTTCAGAATCAAACAGAGCACTCTCATAATAACGTAACACTATCAGAGACTGGATATATCCCCCCCCCCCCTCTCTGGTCGCTACAATGAGGGAAATAAATGACGGGCCAAAAGTTTTATTTACAAGTATTACAAGTAAGCAGAGGACACCAAACCAACTGAGACCTGTCTGTCCGCTGCATCTACGCACTGCACCACACACACCTACACCACACACACGCACCTACAGCTCCTAAAGCATATAATCAGGCTACAGCCGTTGTGTATTTTATTATGTGAAGCACTAAATGGTTTTAGAAAAATATCGACTTTGTTTGTAGATATCTACTAAACTAAAGCAAATAAAGAGAGTAGGCCTGTTATACTGAGTGATATGATATATATTATACACACTGCTCTGCTTTCTGCACGGACCTCACAGCTGTTCTCACTGTAAACATCGCGTCGCGATGAAAGCAGTTAATAAAATAATATCCAGGGGATGCATGCAGAGCTGTCATTGGCTGAGATAAGTCCGGCCGTGCGTCTCGACTCTTTGAAACATCACTGTTGCCGGAAATGCATCCACGAAGGAGCCGTGGAGGACTGTGGAGGACCCATCAGTGTATCCTCGGTTATAGCTCCTCCAGAGAGCCTCCTCGACGCTCGATGCTCGGTCCTCGATGTGCATTTCGAGAAATGAGATGTCCTTCAACATGGCGCGCTAAAATTCATTTCCGGGTCACTACCGGAGGACCGAGGAGTCGAGGAGTCGAGGATGGGACATTTGATGACATGAGAAAGGGCCTATGTACATCTGAGAATGGATGCCTGATGATATTTAACAACTAAAAGCAACAGGCTCCATCTGCCATCACATACAGTCAGCAGAAAGAGAGAGAAAGACCACAAAGAAACAGAGAAAACACTACAAGGGAAACAGAACGGTGGTGTGTCACACACCACATCGAGAAAATAGATGAATCTGAACGGGATATACAGGACAGAGTACTGCACACGACCCAAATAAAATCCAATTAAATCGATTGTTTATCAAATGTGACGCAGTAAAAGTGTCTTTTTTGACGGCTCTCCTAACGGGATTTAAAGTGTTTGAGTTGATCTCAGGTTAACCAGACCTTCAAGACCTAGAAAAGCATGTACAAAAATAAATCTATTACAGATCTAGGTAAGTCTTAGAGATTGGAGGAAATGGTTGGCGACTTAATGTCAAAAGACAAACACTTTTTTAGCAACATTGTGAGTTTTTTTGTGAAAGTTGCCCCTGGGTTAGCCAGAGAGGAACATGTAGTTGACGTGACCGCAGAGAAATGAGTGAACATGAAAGTGAAGACATGATGAAGTTCAGTAAACACGTTGTCCATACAGTAATGGTACAGTAACAGCTTCATATACTGGGGACAAAGAAACAAATACACAATGATGGGAAGCTTCTGCAGACATTGTTTATCCTCAGTCACTCCATAACAATAATAATAATAACAACTTCTGTGGAAGTCTCCTCTTTTGGGATTTTACCTGACAATGTTCAGCCTCAAAAACGATATAATATGAAGAACTTACTAAATATGTATTGCCATGTCTTCTGATTAGACACCTTTTAAAAAATATATTTGTATATGATTATTTCCAAACTGAATCAAATGTAGTTTTCAGTAAAAGGCTCCAACAGGTCGGTTATTAGGGGTTAATGTGTCCGTTACAAAGACTGAGGTAAACCATGTCTGTGAAACCTCCCTTGATAATGTGTTTTTCTCTACATATAAACATCATTTATAATAACATACACGAAATGTATTTTTTTAAAGTGTGATATACAATAATATACAAAACAAAGCTTCAACTGGATCCATGCATAATATGTGGAGCTAGCTTGGGAGAAAATACAGTCGTCAAACGGGAACAAGTTTGACTTGCACCTTTTGTTTCCGTCAGTTTATCATTCAACCAATCAATGAATCAGCTTTGGATTAAATCAAAAAAACATAACCAAAAGACCAGGAAAGAAAGAAATGAATATTTTCTGTGTACCTTCCATCTGTTGCAGACAGGTTGCAAACTAAACCAGATTGACTAATGTGGAGCTATTTGGGGCTTTATGTGGTGAGCGCTAACCACCGAGAGATTACTCATTGACCGCCAATTGGTGAGACGACACGAGTTCAGAGAGTCGCTCTTGTCAGTTCATCGTGTTGGTGATCCTCTCATGTTCACCAGCACTTAAAACAATGATCTGATTTAGCTACATAGACTCCTATGAGTGAACTGACCACTTGGTGAAGCCGACAATTCAAATTCACAACTGAAAGACCATAATGCTACTCCATGTTTCCTAAGTAACTGTTTGATGCAAAGTGCTTAAAACATTTGTCCTGCTTATAAATGAACCAGCCTGTTATCATGGTTTTTCTAACGCTGCATTCACATGACAAACGAAACAGCTCTGTGTTGCCCTTGCTGTTGTGTTTCTATGGAGAAAGCAGTTTCAACCCGACTATACGGAAGCGCTACCATCGCCGTATCATATCGCTCAAAATTGTCTTCAAGCGATGCGCTCAAAGTAAAATGATTTCCACTTTAGACCAAGTTACCTGACCTTTCGACGCGCAACAAATCACATCAAGCTAGCAGGAAACAATACAAACGAAACTGAACTGACTGTTTACGGCAATTTGTGTATATATATACATATTTGCACACATATTTAATATACATTTGTTTTATATTCGGGATTGTGGGAAACGGTATTTCGATCTCTCTGTCTGTACACAGAAAGATTGACAATAAAGTTGACTTTGAAGTCTCTGCACACAGAGAGAAATCACGTATCATGTGAATGCAGCTTAATATGACACAAGAAAGGACAAGTGGATATTCATTTTCTTTAAATATATTCTATCTAGCTAAGTATCTGTGTATTGTCATAATGCTGGTGGTTTGTGAAGGCCAGTCTCTCTTCTCTTAACCCCATGTGTGTGTTCTGTTCACACACAGTCAGTAACCATGGACACAAAGAGGTATCAGAAGAACACCTGTTGTTGCTGCGTTCACACCGGACGCGATGCGACTATTCGCTTCGCTCTAATCGCTCCTATCGCATCGCTCTAAACGCTGGAGTTTCACCGCGGCTGCCAGCTGTGTTTACTCGCATCATTCAAACAAGACGCGCTGGCTCGGGAGCTACAACTACAACAAATGAACATATTTTACCGTGATTAAATTGTAATACACGTTTCTAAATGATGCCGAAGTAACAACATACTGATACTGGTTAGTAACAACCATGAATTAATGCTCTGACAAGTCTGCAGACAAGACGGCAGGCGAAAAACCTTTTAAAATGCGTGTTTTCTGAATGAAGATCGGATCGACCAGGCTAAGCTAACGTTGTATATGCTCATTCCACACTCATAACAACGGCCTACAGACATAAATAAGCAGCGACTGTATTCACCATGACACAGACAGTCTGTGGTTTGTACTTGTTTAACTTTTGTCCAGTTTCTGAACGGATATGAGGAGCTGTGAGCTCTGTGTGCTAACTGCTAACAGCTAACGGCTGATGTTGTGTGGTTGAACGTCAGTGACGGCGGCTGAGATCCTCACCGCTGATTGGCTTCCGCGAGAACGCGTCACGTGAATTTGACGCTCGAGTTGAAAAAATTGAACGCACCGTTCAATCGCCTCAATCGTGTGATTCGCGCCGCATCCACCGCTTCATGCGCGCCGTCGGAGCGAATTCGCGTCTGTCCACGTCTCTGCATTGACTTTACATGTAATCGCGCCGCCATCAAACGTCGCATCGCGTCCGGTGTGAACACAGCATAGACATCAGGCAATAAAACAATCGTGCAACATGTAGTCACTTGTCATAAATGAAATGAAGTCTGGACAAGCAACCGCCCCCCTCCCCCCTGGATATTATTCTCCATGTCCCCCCCCCCACGTCCCCCCCCCAGCTGAGACCATTAATGCCCTGATCTGCTGCTTTGGCATCAGATGCACACACTGGCGTTACTCTTCCTTCACAGCATTGAGTCGGTCGATGTCATAACGAAAAAAATGAATGAATGTGAGGAGTTCTGGTTGATGGGAGAAAGGAAAATTGTCCCAGAAAAAAAATCTCCCCCTTCCCCAAAAGAAATGTCTATGTTCTCCTTTTTTCGGCAGCTGCACTTCCTGTGGTTACGTGTTGCTTAAAGAGTTCAGAAACATGGCTCCTCTCAAATGGGGAGGGGTCAGTCACCTGAAGCAGCAATGGAGGTGGGTGAAATCAAATGTCCTGATGCAGTGTCGCTCCTCAAATAGAGTAGGGTCTGTTTTCCCTGTCTGCTGATGCATTGTGGGTAGTTGAGTTTTGATGTGTCAACTGAATATGTCCAGGGAAATCTTACCCTTCAGTCAGCTTGCTGTGTAGCTTTACCCTACTCCACAAAGTCCCTTTTTTATCCATGTCCTGGTTGGATCCTGGCTGATGCATTCTGGTTAATGTAGTTCAATATGGACAATCAGCTTGCTGCATCGGTAAAGGCAGACGCTGATTCTTCGATGGAGCCCTACAACGGGCTGACAAGGAGAAGATGCTGGAAATCAACCTGAGAAGAGAGAGAGAGAGAGAGAGAGAGAGAGAGAGAGAGAGTTTGGAAAAACATATAAGAGAGATGTGACAGAGAGAAAAAGGCAACTTTAAAAACATGCATAAATCATAACGTAATTAAGCACTGCCTTGACATTTCAGATTTAAATAACAGAGCTGAATGAAATATATGCAGGCATACTTTCCGGGTTATAATCTGAGTGTGTGCGTGTGTGTGTGTGTGTGTGTGTGTGTGCGTGTGTGTGTGTGTGTGTGTGTGTGTGTGTGTGTGTGTGTGTGTGTGTGTGTGTGTGTGTGTGTGTGTGTGTGTGTGTGTGTGTGTGTGTGTGTGTGTGTGTGTGTGTGTGTGTGTGTGTGTGTGTGTGTGTGTGTGTGTGTGTTATAATCACATGTTGGCTGACTATCTGAAGGACTGAATGTTGTTTATAGCAGCACTCTGAAGTGTCTCAGTTCGTACTAAGGCAGAGCTTTCTAACTCCCATTTGAGGGCATCTCGTGGCACTAATATAAATCTGAAAGTGACACTTAATTAGGATTTAATTAGCTTCGCCGCAGAGGCTGCTTGCCACCAAGAGCTCTAAAACCGTGTGCCAAACAGGCTAAACTAAGAGCATACGCCCCAGTGTGTGGCCGTATGATGAGAACCAAACATATTCACAGCAGACAACGAGACAAGTGTGAGAGGGACATTTCCTCTGTCACAAAACTCGAGTCAAAACACAAAACTAAAAGCTGAAAACGATCATTGTCTGTGTATTTAAGTGTCTCACATTAGATTGGCATGGACTTCATCTTGACCATAGAGGAGAGTTGCTGTTTGGTCACGTGGTTACGCCGCCTCTGCCTTACCCTAGAAACACACAACAATAGGTTAGAAGAGACTAAATAAACGTAAGAGTGTCAAACACATACAAAGAAATAGAGTAAGACCACACAGCTGTGGCCTGTGGATGTGGGATACGTGTGTGTGTGTGTGTGTGTGTGTGTGTGTGTGTGTGTGTGTGTGTGTGTGTGTGTGTGTGTGTGTGTGTGTGTGTGTGTGTGTGTGTGTGTGTGTGTGTGTGTGTGTGTGTGTGTGTGTGTGTGTGTGTGTGTTGGTGTGTGGGTCTTACCACACGACAAAGATGAGGGAAAGGACGGTGGTGAGGATGACCACGGAGAACAACACCAGCAGAATCACCAAACCCAAATTACCTTCGTCCACAGAGGCTGAATGGAGAAAAGAGGGGGGGGGCGGGACAGGGGGGGGTCAGCAAAACAAGGGAGGGAGATAGAGAGAAAGTGAAAGTAAAAAAGGAGGAGAGCTGACTCAAAGAAGGAATTTTTAAAGTAATTCAAGACGGGAAAAAAAATCTAGTTTAGGACAGGGTTCCTTTTAAAGGGGTCCTATTATGCTAATGTTCTGGTTCATATTGGTATTTCAGGGGGGGGGGTGGTTGGGAGAGAAACTTTGCAAAGATGTCACTTTGGGAAACAAAGCTATGTAACACACTACTGGAAAGGGAAACCCTAAAAAGCATTTTTCAAGATTCTAAAACCCACAATTCCAGTCTCTTAAAGCATTTATCTTCACTTCTAAACGTCTACTATAACTGCAATTGTGAAAAATAACAAAATGCTCTACACCCACATCTATATGTGACGGTATATACTATTTTCACAAAGAAGAGGGTTCCCCTTTCACTCATGTCTGTAAATCTATTGGACTCCAGGAGACAACAAAGTAACTGGGCAACGGGGGGAAATATTTTGTAGATGAAACACAGGATTAGGCATTTTAAAGGAGCACTAAAGCATGTTCCTATCAGTGAAAACAACAGTTCAAATTAAACATTTCCCAAAGAAATAGGTAAGCAAAAAAGGGCACATGTGAATAAGATGCAGTCCACTCATGTCTGGGTTTTCGTCTTGGCAAAACTCATTAAAATATAGATGTGTGAAAAAAATACATTTCATCTTTTTTTGCCATTTAATGTTCCCCGTTTGTTTGCCTCTGAGAAAAAAATAGCAGTTTGTGTGTGCTTCTAGATTTAATTACTCTCAGTTCATTTGAAATGTGCCATAATGTAGTGTTCACACAAACATGCATTCATCGCACTGAGAGGAGTAAACAACTCTCGTTCACACACACAAAGAAGACTAAAAACAAAATCAAAGCACAGCCACACATTAACGATCAAATGTGCAAAAAAACACACAAAGATTTATGAGCACATCTGCACATGACGGTGGACTCACACACACACTCACACACACACACAAAGAAGACATCTGGTTCACAGCAGAGCATCTTCAACGCCTCTCCTGGCAAAATGTGTCTATTTCCATCCTTGTGCATACTTGTTGTGTGTTTCCTGCATGTGTATATTTGAGATGTGCATGTCGTCTGTGTTTTTGCCCGTTTATATGTGAGCTGCTGTGTACTTAAGTGTTCATCCAAGGCCCAGAGAACACAACACCCTGCAGGTACAATTCACTGCAGTTATGTGTCATTTGGTGCTTGTTCTGCTCTATCTAGAGTATGACGGTAAATATTGCCTTGTTGCAGCATTAATGAGTGACAGGGTTCTTGTAGGTGCCAAATAAAGGAGAATAAACACACTAGCCTGCTGTTTGACTAGCTATGATTCACATAGAAACCCAAACAGTTGGATCAGCTTGACTGTGGTAATGAATTCACTTTAATAACATAATGGATGTTTTTCTTTTTGAATATAATGGTACAAGTTTAGTGGGTGCATTTCATTTCAGTGTCAAAAGGCTTAAGTCTACATTGCGGGAAAACAACGGTATTTTGTGCTGCAGCAATAAAACACATACAGTGAATATAAACATCCAAAATGTAATGTTGTAATTATCATTTTAAATGACTTACGGTCTGTTTTTGTAGTGGAGGTTTCGGGTTCTGGAAATGGGTCTGTCGGGAACACCTCTGTAGGGTCTGGGGAGGACACACCTAACACACACACACACACACACACACACACACACACACACACACACACACACACACACACACACACACACACACACACACACACACACACACACACACACACACACACACACACACACACACACACACACACACACACACACACACACACACACACACACACACACACACACACACACACACACACACACACAGATACATATTGTGAGCAACAATGAATATGCGTATAGTAGAAAGTCGTAGGAAGTCAGATGCCTAAGTGACGTTGTGTAAGGATGTAAAGAGTCCTCGGTGAAGCATTTTGAGATTGTTTTTCGTACCTTCCCACGGCTTGCAGAGAGAAACGGCCGTCCATTCACTCCACAGGCTCTCACTGTCCGGCTCGTCCCGTGCACAGACCTGGACTTCATGGAAGCGACCGGCCAGGGCGTCCAATATCACCACTGGACTATGCTCGGCTAAAACCTAAAAGATTGAGAAAGAGACAGGACAGGGAATAGTTCTGGGCATTATTATGGGTTCTGAATGAATTAGACGAACACTCACTACATACATGCCAGGGGAATCGAAGGGGCCCTGTTATCGACATGTTCAGGCTCATATTTTATATTTTGTGCCTCTACTGTGACATGTTTACATACTTTAAGGTTCAAAAAGCTCTTTATTTTCCTCATACTGCCTGTGCTGCAGAACTTCTTTTCACCCTCTGTCTGAAACCAGAGCCCAGTCTGCTGTGATTGGTTAGCTGGGTGTTATATAGTTATGTAGACAACAAAGGGGTGGGAGAGAAACTGCCTCTGGCTGGAATGTTTTCCTTTGCAGACCATTTACATGCACTAAAACCTATATAACACACTACAGGGCTATAGGGACCAATCACAGTGAAGAAAATAAAGATAGTTTCAATTGCTAGTATAATGTGATAAACTACAATTTCATTCCCTTTAATAAAGTATACAATGTACATTTTTGACAGGATGCAAAAGTCATATCAGGATGAACAATACAAACGAGTGCTTACTGACATTTGACCAGTGTACGAAGCCCTCTGGCCTGTATCTGATATGAAACAGGAGGGGGTAACCAAGGCTCTGCGGCCAGGAGGAGGGAAGCTCCCACGAGATGTTCAACCTCTTTGGAAAGCCTTCTAACTCGTTCACCAACACCGACTGTGGAGGATTTGGTTTCACTGCAAGGGAAGACAGACGGTAGGGTTCAGCCCATGGTTGGTTAAAAGGAACCAAGCTAAACAACATATCAAGTCAAACATGACAGAATGGAACGAAAGTATAAATAAAGTATGAATGATCTATCTTTGCAGCTTTGGGAAAATGCATAGAGAATCAAGCTGAGAATGCGCTATAACCTTGTCACCTTGTTTATCATAGAAACGATCCATTCATTCTCTGAATCTTGTCCCACGCACTCACGTCTCTTAATGTTATAAAGTGCACTCTGACGTAAAGTCTGCAGAGGTTGTGAAAATCCTTGGGCATTATTCAATTGGCACACCAGCCTCTATAAAGACTCAAGGATGCTGTGAATGCCTCGAGAGCAACAAGAACGTCACTCACGCAAAACAAGATCATTGAGGTCGTTCGAACAAAAAGGAAAGGTCACAAAACCCATTAGAAGAATATGTGCAGCAGTAAAGTTGTGTGTGTATGTCTGTGAGTGTTGTATGAATATATATTTCCTAATGGACATAGTTTGCTTCATCCTTTTTTTACCTATATTTTGAAGGTTCCATTTCTTTGTGTTTTCATGTCTGGCCACCTCTGCCTGACTTTGACAGCTGTTTTAAAGAAATACAATTGTTCTAACAAGCATTGCACCTGCTGGATTTATTTCCTGTCTTCACAGCAGCAGCATTATGCTCAGGGAACCTGAAAAGACTTTGATAAAAGTGATAATGAGGTAAAAAAAAGAGCTGCCTGGACCGCAGTGAAGCCAATGCTATTAAACAGAAAATATTCTAAGGAGCGTTAGATCCTTTATAGTTTTATATTGCCCATTGGTTATGAAAGTCACTCGACTCATGTGCCTGAACGTGATTGTTGTACTGAAGCTACAACGCCAGTGTGTGTCTATACCCAACACAGTCTCACGGCATTTCGTGTTATAGTCACGAAATTAATCTATTGATTCGTGTTCACCAACACGATTTCGCCATTTTTTTCGTGTCACACAGAACGATTTTAAAAGCAATGTAAATAATAACAAATTAGAAGAAAAAACAGATTAAAAAAATTACAGATTTCAGTATTCTGACACAGAACGATTTTAGAGGCAATGTATTTCTATTGGTAGTATGTTTCGTGCCTGCACCAAATAATAACAAATTAGAAGGAAAAAAAGATGACAAAAAATACAGATTTCAGTATTCTGAGGCTCTGAGCCATTTATTTTCCTCACGGACGGCAACAAAACTCAGACATTATACAATTTAAAATAAAAAGGGATAGGGTTAGGCTTAGGGTAAGATATTGAGTAAGAAAATGTTTTTATGAACCACACAGCTTCTGGTCTTCCAAGACCCGACTGGACAAAAAGACGTGTTGCAGGCACGAAACATACTACCAATAGAAATACATTGCTTTTAAAATCGTTCTGTGTGACACGAAAAAAATGCGAAAATCGTGTTGGTGAACACGAATCAATAGATTAAATTAATTTCGTGACTATAACACGAAATGCCGTGAGACTGGGTTGCTATACCCCGCGTTCTTTTTAAACTAAATTCACCAGTAAAATGGAACAACTAAAGACAATTGCAGATGCACATTGAATATCCAGGGATTGACATTACAGACAGAACTGCTGAACAATTTGGCCACAGTTTATAACATTGATCATGAAGGTTACTTAAAGGTCCCCTATTATACTGTTTTTCATCAATATATTATAGGTCTCAGATATATACAAAACATGTCTCTGAAGTGTTTGGCTCCAAATACCAAACAGATCGTGCATTGTAGCATCCCACAAACCCCTCTGTTTCAGCCCTGTTTCAAAAGTGCTGATTCTCTGTCTTTTACTTTAGATGAAAATAAGGAGCCCCTCCCCACGCCCCTCTGAGAGATATTTGGTTAAAAAGAACACAATGGTGCTCTAGGAGGAGATTCAGGTGATATTGGGGGGTGTTACCTTGGTTGGTGATTGGCTAATGGTTAAACAAGCCAAAACATCGCTATGACATCATAAAGTGGCCAAAATCTGATCAGCTCATTTTCAGACAGGTTTTTATAGAAATGGATCAGGACAAAAAGTGAGCGAATCCTTTTTCCTGAAACTTTCAGATCTCTTTACACATGTTTATGTATAAAAGACATGAAAAAGTGGATTTTGTATAATAAGTGACCTTTAAGTGCTCGTCATACACATTTCTCATTCAAACGGTGTGTTCAACCCATTCCTGTGTGTTTTTGTTGTTTTTAAGCGAACTTACATAGCTTATGTAAATGCATCCGGGCATATGTTGTCTCGGACCCGAGGGCGTTGGTCTCCTGGACGCTCAGGGTTTGGATGTAGCTCCAGTAGGCAGGAAGAACTATATCACAGTGCTTCTGAAAGACGTCCACAACGCATGTCCTCGGCTCCTGACCTTTCCTTTAAAACAAAACAGAAACGTTTAAGTGTTGCGCTCTCTTTTTGAAGGACAATTTAAACGTATATATAAAAAAAGACCATATCAATCATATATACATGACTCAAACCCGTGTTACCTTGAATTTAAGAAAAGTGCATGTGTTTGGAAAGTTAGGTTGGGAAATGAAACTGCTTGAGTTGTGTGTGGGTTTAAAAATTGATGTTTTAAATTATTCTTTGTTAAACATGGCTGCAATTTACCTAAATTCATCAACAATAATACCCTTTTTTGAACTCTTGAAGAACAGTTTTTTTCAAGAATTCTTCACAGGGTGAGTAGTTGATGTACCCTTATTTTTTTGGGTGATGTATTTCATTAAGTGTATTCTGGAAACTGCAAAGAAAAAAAATGTATAACTAAGATGTCACCACAGCTGAATGCTGAATGCAATGCTACTTCAGTTTCTTCAGTCGCAACGTAAAAAAAAAGAGATGTAATGTGTTATGGTTAACATTTTCCACTGAGTGCCACGGCTCGCAGTAAATGCGCTTCATTCAAAATTCAACTCTGTGGCACACGCACTATATTTAGTTAGTTCCTAGTCCATTCTGAGAGTGACCTTGGGCGTTGCTGTGTGACTTGCAGTAACTCACACTGTCAAGAGGATGGCGTTGTACTGGGCTGGCAGGAAGGTCTTCACTGATTCCACCCAGGAGCAGCGAACATGCGTGTGATTGGGCACTTGACAGGAAATGCTTAGCGAACCGGGGCGGTCTGGGAAACAGGAATCAAACAGAGTTCATTATCAGGACAGAAAGAGAGTTTTCTGGTGTAATAATTCAAACATGTCTTGTCTTTAGGTGTAAAACAAAGTGCTCTATGCTCTGATGTCCCTATCATGAACCAAAATATCTGAGCAGAGGCTTGGACAGCACCATGGAAAACTCTCCGTCCCTCCAAAGGAAGGCCACTTAGGGAAACGCTTCCTGTTTGAGACAGTTACAGGAAGTGGAAGGCTTTGTCTATTTGACGGCTGATAAGACCCGTTTCCTCTCAGGAGCAGTAGCGCTGTTCTGATCATCCCCGTTGAAATAGGATCTAGTAGTAGTAGTAGACGGAAGGCCATCATTTATAAAATGTTTAGAAAAGAAAATAATTATTTAAAAAAAAAGGGGGGGAATATAGAGATGAAAGACAAACCTAGAGGTTGAGGTGAACTTACAAGAGATGAAAATGAGGAGAAACAGAGAATTAATTTCTGCTTTTAGGCTAAAATATTCAAAGTGAACTTTCTTTTGCCAAAGCTAAGGTTCCATAGTGGGAGACTAAAAGCATAGCAGAGCTGTTAAAAAAGTAATAACTCCTAAATTAGGTGTGGAGAGTCAGGACAAGTCCCAACACAACAACACTTACGGCCCAGCCTGAGTTTGACAGAGTGGAGGAGGAGCCCGCCGTTGTCATAGCAGCTGTAGTTGCCTTGCGCTGATAGGTCGACGTGCAGCAGGACTAAAGTTCCGTCAGATGTGACTTTGTGCCACGGCAACACGGCGCTGTTGTTGTGATGCCAAACCACAGGTGTCCTGGTAGGGAACATAATACACTTATTTATAACTAGTTTTTATGCTTGTGAGGACTCAGTAACCTGTAAGCCTTGTCATATAAACACATAAGTCTACGTATCACATAACCTTTATTTAAACGAAACAGCTGGTAATATGGTACGTATCATAACTAATAACAGACTAAAAGTACAACCGTTAGTACATTAGTCAATCTAATAAGTAATGAACAACAATAAAAGACCTATTGCACATTATACCTACCTGTTTTGACTGGTAAATAAAACTAAAATAAATACTCACTTATGTTTGTAGCACTTATCTGGCTAATTCAAATAAATACAAATCTATTAACAGCTTATGTTAGATTGTTGCTATTTTTAGTGTGTATCTTCATGGTTGATTGCACCTATTATAAGTCACTTTGGATAAAAATGTTGGCTAAATAGAATGTGATGAAATAAAGAAATCAGACTTTGGCTACACAGGCAATACCCGTTTCAGATTTGCTGAGTTGGACATTGAGATAGTGTGATAGTACTATAGTGACTATATTGAGTTTTATTGTGTCTTTAAGTCGGTAGTGGGCCGCCAAAAGACGTGTGGATTTGAAAGCTGTGATTTCTTTGAATAAACCTGCTGTGACTACATTGGGTCTTCATTGAGTCAGAGCTTGTATTCGCAAGCGACCTTAGGACAATGTACTTTTGATAAACTGCCACTACAACTTCTATTTTACGTGTACCATCTTATTTGTGTTAGTAGTTTATTGACTTTTATTTTATTTAAAAAGATATGCTCCATTGGCTCTCTCTCAAATCTGATTATGTACCCTTATTGCACCTGATTTAGCAATGCAGGCACTGTTTAACCCTTTGTATTACGGTAATGTATCTTCTTTGCCTTGAAAACTAAAATATTGACTTTCAGGCCACCTACAAAATGGAGGAGTTTTTCTATTATTCTGTCAGTTATCTTAAGGAAGGTAAGTAAAGCTATATGCATAATTGAGTATATGAATACAGCGGGGTGGCTTTAGAATGCATTCTATTCATTTGACTTCAATGGATACCACTGCAACTTTTATGATAAATGTGTTATTGTGATTACTGGAATGTCAAAACATGTGCTGCTTTATTCCAACAAAATGCTGTACCCAGTTTCTTTTTTTGGCTAATAGAATAAAACCTTTGAACTCCCACATGACTGTGCCGGAAAAATGTCTTTGTCATTAGAAGACAAAGAAACCCAACTCTAATTCAAACAAGGAAATGGTTCTCTTTCTTACCTGATTTGTGACTTCCTGCATGCCAGTGTCACATTCGACTCCAAGAGCGCATACTGAACGCCTGACACTGTAAACAAAGACATCACATAAAATATTAAAGCCCGCGTTCGTCTGGCTTACAGCATGTGCACACTGCAAAATCTGACATACCATGTGTCTGCATTGACTCTATCAATGTGAGTTACAGTAAGAGACAGAAGCACAATAACATGACCATTCTGAGGACTGAGGAGGTTTTGGCACACAGCATGAAGAGTCTCCAGTGTTTTCTTTTTCTGAAAATGTTTCTTATCACTAGTAAAATAATATTACTCAGCACTGTGTTAAGTTACTAGTGCTGATCCCACTGACAAATGACACCAATTTGGCCAACTTTGAGCTGCTTTCTTATTATTGTCTTAATGTGCTTTTTGACAAAAAGACAAAATATATGACGAAATACTTTTCACGACCATCCTCTGCTCCTAGCCTTTACTTCACAAAGTCCAAACTGAACATGCGACTAGCGTGCTTTGGAGGACTTCACAAGTACTCTATTCCTCAAAATACAAAAGCAGAGGCAAGACATATTTCCCACCCTCATATGAAGTTGAACCTTTAACATTTTTAGGGCTGTGTATTGGAAAGACACCATATGTATCATGATTTAATATATTGAGGTATATTGTGATTCTGTAAGCATGGCGATCTATTGCGTTTTTTTAAATATTATTTTAGAAAAACTGACATGGTATAAAGAACACATCATTTTAGGCATAAAACCCACGTAAAAATAAGTTTACTTTTTCATTCAAACATATCACAAAGAACATTAAGTATTGACTGAGTTCATCCTGGCTGTTATTACAATTTAAAGTTGATTAAGTGTTTTTGAGAAACCATTACAAGACCTCAAAAAAATAAATATTGCGATTCAATAGATGTTTTCTAACACAAGATGTTTTCTAACACTCCAAAGAAGTT